GCAATATGTATATGTACCAATTTCCCCACGATAAAGGTATGTTTTTACTATGTCCTGCAAAAATATACTAATAAATATTTGAGAGAAAAATGTTTTTATGTGGGTAGAATTCTGCATCGGCTTTATTTTTTTCATTTTCTGTAGCTAAAAGGGCTAAGGAATCTTATTCTTATAAGTGGGTGGGAACTAGCAACAACTTTGTTATAGCTGGGTTTGTCATTCTTTGAATGACATGACTTATATGGCATAAATTATTCATTTTTGATTATCAGTTCACTCTACTTGAGCTTCCTTTAAATATTTTTGAAAGCAGAGAATTTGATACCACCTGTTTTGCAAAATGGTTAGTCATGATAGTTCCACAAAGTGTCAGTGCTTCCCATCCTCTTTTGTTCGGCTCTATGGAGGTCTAAACCCTGGGTAAGTGGATTTAATTCATGATGAGGGATGGGTTGGCTTTTTTATGAAGTAGAAGAAAGCAATAGTAAAAGAGGAAGTATTTTAGGGGAACCCCATGAGCCTTGCCTGGCAGGCACGCTCTCAGGTTCATCAGTTTTTGGAAAGAGTACTGTACTTGGGGAAGATGATGACCCAGAAACTATTTCTCAATACAGTGGTACCTCGGGTCACAATTCGTTTTATGATTTTGGGGAAGATGGCCACAGTTGTGTTTGTCACCTGATGCGGAGTCGGTCAACAGAAGCAGTTTTGTTCAATTCTTTTGAGAACCAAATTGTTTGTGAAAAGAAGCATTGGTAAACCAAGGTAATACTATACTGCTTTGTGTGTATGCATCCCTTAGAAAGTCTTTGTAATTCCCAGTACACCCTAGTGTGATGATATTGCTCTAAGGAACAAATCTTTCCACATCTGAAGAATCTCTGGTCTAGCTAAGGCAAAATGCAGGGTACCTTCCCAGGAATGAGAGGCAGCCCACTGTCAGAAAGGGACAGCTCCTCCCACAGCTTCCCAAGGACCCTAGATCAGTATCAGCAAACCTTTTAGAGCTTTCAATGTTAACAAATAGCCCACCGTGGCACAAGTGCCATAGGTCCCTACCACCACCCTAGATGCACTATCGAACTCAAGTAAAAATCATTAAACATGGGGGTGGCAATTTAGGGGTGCAGATACTCTAGTGTATTACAGGATCCTCAAAATGTACAGCCTTCTTTCCTCAGGTTCAATGAATTCAGATTAATGTCCATGTTATAAAGTTTCTTCCTGCTGATGTCAGGATGTAGGAAGTAGAGTGATTTTCCTGGTTACTCACTGATGGTTGAATTTTGGGAAAGCTGCTGTCCCTATAATAACTGAGGGTCTTTTAACTAAATCTATGGATCTTCTCTCTATGCCAGGCACCAGGCTCAGTTCTTAATGTTTATACACTAGTACCTTGGTTCACGAACCTAATTTGTTTTATGATTTTTGGAAATATGGCTATATTTGCGTGTGTCATCTAATAGGAAGTTTGTAAACCGAAGCAAAATGTTGTCTAATGCCTTTGAGAACTGAATTGTTTGCAAATAGAAGTATTCCTGAACCGAGATATTACTGTACTTTTTAAATGTTTATGACAATCCTATACAGTAGGAGCAACTATTGTCCTTCTTTTACAAATAAGCAAAACATGGTTATGAAAAGTGAAACCACCAAGGATACAAGTGAAACCAACCTTGTATCTATTCCTTCTCGTGTGTTTGTCTTTGTAGCAGATCATAGTCACACCATTGATGCCATTGATTTGCAAACATGCAAATCCTCCAAAAGACAAAGCAGATCCTCTGATACCTCAGGAGTCTAATGGGGAGGGATTGGGAGTTGCTAGTTCAGTTTAACTCAAGAGAAACTACAAGCAAATCAGTGAGCTTTCTATTCTCTCATAACTCTGACATGTCCCGCCCCAAATGACCTTTCCCAAAGCAAACAAGAACATGAAAATTCTCTTCATATTTATGTTCTTGCTGCTGAACCCAAAGAAATGGGGACAGTTACTCCTTAACCAGACTCTCTTGAGCCCCGCAGTTCACTTCTCTGGACCGTGGCTGCTTTGTCTGCAATAGATAGGACTTGCACTTGAGTAGTGTATTCCAAACCTTTAAATTTTTATGACTCAAAGTAAGAAATGAAAACAAACAAAAAACAAGAATCCTTTACTCCATGGTGCATACAATCATGCATGTGCACACATGTTCACGTGCACACACACACACCCATGCACCTGAAATGAGTTTTACAAAACAACTCTCAGACCTACTGTATGATGCTTTCTCATCTATTTTTTCTATTCTATTCATTCAGTGTTTTTGGGAAAACTCCTGTCTGGTTGCTACTCATTACACTGATATTTTATTCCATCAATGAGTTGCAAACCATAAATTTAAAAACTCTGGACTAGAAGCATAAACCACTGGGAAAGAGTAATTTTCTAATTCAGTCAGGACTCTTTTGTGGGTGAACTGTGAATTAGGCAAAGCTTATTTTTGACACCTTGCCACCATTGAGGACCTCATTTTCCAGGCTTCTAGTTCCAATTTATTTCCATAACTCCTACTCACATTTATCCTTACTAAGCTGCTTTATACGCAGATGTCAAAAACATTTCAGAGTAGGTGCTTTTCCCCCCTGTAAAATGTTTTCTTAAAACCACTCTCCAGGTTTTGCTTGAGCTACCATGTGTGGATTTCTGTTACTTGCAGCTAATAGGTCCTCTATTGAAGACATGCCTCTGTGGATTCTTGTCCTTGAAACCACACATTTTTTACTTTCACAGTCAGGTACTTGTAGTCCCAGGCAATGATTGGGAAGTGGTACCACCCTGCATCTTTCACTTGCACTTGGGAAAGATGGAATAAGGCCTTTCCTAGAGGCAGCTGCTCCTCCAGCACAGTGGCTCTTTCACTGCATGAGGATGTATCATTTTCCACCTTTTCCAAACTGCCTTTTATTGACTCAAGTTCTACATGACCTCTAGTGTAAAAGTCACACTCCAGGGTCACATTGCTGCCATAGTCTACTGCATACAGTTCCTTAGGGACTGTCACTGTGAATAAAGCTGAAAAGAAAAGACACTTCAATGTTGTCTATCTTTACTTTACATATCAGCTCTTCCAGAGTAGAAGCTGACCCCATTTCACCCTCATTCTCCAGTAGATCACTGTCATAATTTGGGCCTTCTCTTAGGCTCTCCTTTGCCTCACCCCAGCTGGGTACTGGAAATCCCTGCAGAGGATCTTGATCTCCTGCTCAGTGCTATGATGCAAGGCCAGAAGAAGGACCGAGAGACAGGATTAAAGAGAAATGGGGAACTGAGATGTTCAATGCTGAGTAAGCAGCACAGACCCCGAAGAGCCAGAACTGCTGATATTTATTGGTAACACAATCATTTGTTAAGTTGGGGTAAGGGGGCTACATGTGATTGTTAGGGATAAGTTGCTGATGCAAGAAAGGCTTGTAAAAGAAGAGACAAAACATTCTTGTGTTAGGAACAGAATAGACCACGTACAGGTGTGGTTAACAATTAAACTTGTCTTTTTGGTAAAGAAGGTTTTAACTTTGGGAACAAAACTTGGGTGCAAGTCACCCTGATCTTGGCTGCCATGTCATCTCATATTAAGCCCCACAGCTCCACGGGCCATTCATTTCTCTGGCCTCTGCTATGGCTGCTGGGGGTGGGTGGGTGGAGATACTTACCGTGCCCCATCTGCAATGCTCCTATGAGTCACATAGGCTTCAGCCAGACTCACTTCTTTCAACAAGCCAATTGTGGGGTTAGCTCTTTACAGCCTGCACTGCTGACAGCCTGCTTTGGGCATAATCAACAGGGCAGTCTCCCACACTGGGCAAGAGTGAAATTCTTGGTCCATTGCTCTGAGGTGGTTCTTTCCCCTCAACAATCCCACTTGTGTACCCAGCTGCCCTCCTGTTCCTCCCTGGACACTCCATTATGAGCTTCTGCTGGAAGCACTGTTTGCTCCCACAACATCTCCAACGTCTCCCTTGGAGCTTAGAGTCATTCCAGATCATACCTCACAGGATAGCAAAGTCCTTATAACTCCTCTACCACTTAAGTCTGAGTCTATTTTACTAAATTGCCTTCACAACTTACAATGAAGACTGTTTTTATTCAGTGTATATGGGTCAAGTTATACATTTCCCTGGAAAATATCACAACCTCTATCCTTGATAGGAATAACAACTATCACTTGTTGAGTCCTTAGACACTCTGCTAATACAAGGTATACTCATAATACTCCCACTTGCTTTGAACACACTTATCCCATTGTTATTGCCGCTTCCTGAAGCAGTTCTGGAAGTACTCTTTCATGAGTGTCTTTACCAGATACATTAAAACATATGGTGAATGCTAGCCAAGTAACATTCAAATGAAAGGCAGGCTAATAAAAACATAATGTGTCCTCATCTACCTTATTCACTGGGTCTGGCACCATGTAACTGCTGGCTCTTACACAAAGTCAAAATGACCACAAAAGGTACATGTTTTTCAATCAGTTCAGGACACCGAAGCATCCACAAAAGTTCAACTAAAGGCACAAAAAAGAACTTCCAGGACTCCTTAAAAAAAATAGCAAGAAGAGGGCCTGGGGATTTAGCTCAGTGGTTCTGTCACCTGCCTCGCAAGTTCAAGGTCCCAAGTTTGATCTCCGGTACCAAAAAGGGAAAAAAAAAAAAAAGCAAGAAGTGAGTGTGTTCAAAGTGATAGGGAGTATTTCGAAGGGGATTAATGGCAGCAGTGTGTCTTTTATTATAATTTTTAAAATTTTAAATATTCACTCATTTTTATTACACTTCATATATTGTCTCATTTAGATTTCCTAGGAAGCCAATGAAGTAGGCAGTACTGCTATTCTCTTTTTAGAAAATAAAACTGAGGCACAGAAAAGTTTAGAAAATTGTCTAAGACTGTATACCAAGTTCAGACTAGGTATTTCTTAAGTTCCAAATTCTGTTAATTGAAACACCATCCAAGCCCACTGTAGATACTTTCTAATTTCTATCAATAAAGGGAGAGGAAAAATGGAAATAATATTTAACGTGTATATACTATGTGCTAGGCACTATGGTAGGCATTTTATGACTACAGTATATGATTTAACTCTGAAAATGACTGTGAAATATGTATTGTCGTTAAGATTTTATACAGTAGTTGAAGAGACTGACTCAAAGATGTTGATTTTAGGAATATGATTAATAAGATTGAGATTCAGAGCCATATAGTGTTTGACTTAAAAATCTGTAGTTCTTAAACAGTATTTCCCAAAATGTGAGGTACATACCATTAGAAGCATGTAAGATAATTTTAAATGGGGCAGAATCAAAGCCTAAAGGGTGCTGAATTATTTAGAGAGAACTTTATCCCCCTTTGAAATCTTTTAGTACTTCAATTACATGAATTTGCAACCTTTAATACCAGCTATTTTTCCCTTTAATAAAGCAGAAAGCTTACAGTCAGGTAAGTAGCATCCAGGTAGAATTTAATAAAAACTGTTTTATTTTCATTGCATTTATTTTGTTCCTTTTCTATATTTTACTAGTCCAAGTGATACTGGTTTTTCATCTACACAAAGTACCTTTTTTGTCAAAAAATTAAAAGCTGAGTTGATTTAAATAATTCTGTAGGAATAATAGCACAAATAGTGGTGAAACATGGTAGAACTAGTGAAAGAAGTGTTTCCATGCATAGTGTGAGAAGCTGTGCTGAATTATGTTGCCTTTATGGTTAATCAATGGGTATTCATTATGATGGAAGTATAGAAACATCTTGAAGTAGTTTCTGAATCATCATAGATTAGATCAAATTATGTTCAGTAAAGCTTGCTCCATTCATTAATTTATTCAATCAAATCTTTCATTAAAGGAATATTTGGCATCTTGTAAACATTCACTACTTGAGGAGTTGTTTTAGTAAAAAACATATGGAAAGTGCAAGATTTAGTGACAAGTGAGCTTGGGTTCAAATCCTGACTGTATGTGGAATAGGAGTCTTTTGGGACCCCTCATTTAACCAATATGAATCTCAGCCTCACTTCTGTAAAAGGATAGTATCTACTTCGTGGTATTGTGAGGAAACATTGGGTAAGATGTCCAGATCTAGCAGCCACTAGGCACTCAGCAAACTTTCTTTCGTGCCATGTTTTAATTCGTGGGAAAGTGGTAATCTATATATGAAATGTGTGGCTATTCTTTATTAGACAGAATATTTTACTACCCAGGACAGTCAGTTCTCAGTGACTAGATTCCAACTTTCAGGTGTCCCGCTGTTTCAGTGATTCACATTACAATTTATTTCTGATTCAGGTTTTTCCTTCCATTATCCTGCGAATCTCAGAAGGCAATAATTGGATTGAGTTTGCTTTGCTATCCCTGTACTATCTAGCACATACTGTCCCAGTTAAGGATCTGGCAAATAAAAGAGAGAAGAAGGGGAGACCAGAGTGAGGAGACAGAACTCTGACCTTATTCCTTCTCACTGAACTCCACCCTGTCAGAGATCCCTGCATTGGCCTTTTCATTCACCACACAGTACTCTGGATAGGGACAGGCACAAATGAACTTTATCAAAAAAAGACTGAGAGGCTTCTATCTTTCCTTCAATCCCTGTTTTAACTATGACTAGAACATTAATGTCCCTTTCTACTGAGGTCTGTGGTCCAGACAGGAGTTTACCCAGCATGCTTTGTGTGGGTGGGGCTAGGGCAGGTCTGTGAGGTAAGTGCTTCCATGTAAATGCTAATTGCACCTGTGCTTGCTGGGCCAAGTTGAGAAGACCCTGGGATGCAAAGGGATGTGGACGTCAAGATTTCCTGTATGATTCCATTTTGTGGAGTCTACTGCACACTTGTAATAACAAGGTCTCAACTAATGGGACCACTCTCCATAATGGGATCTCTTAAGGGTAGATCCCTTTAGGATAGGAACCATCTCTAAGTGGAAATGCCTGGTGCCCCAGAAGATTCATATTTATTGTACTATTTATGTACTGACTATCTTCTATGTGCTAGATTTAGGAACTTACTATGTTTACTCTTCTCAGAGTACTTCCTTCTTTTATTTTATTACACATGATAAAACAAGAAAAAAGGAAAGAGTAGGGGCATGCAAGGAAGGTGAGTTGTTGTGTCTGAGTAACAAGAATTGGATAATGTGGGTGTAAACGCTATTGGATTTTCTAGCAAATCTATTTAGCACACTATACTTTCTTCTCATGAGAAAGGGCACCACTGTAACTTCCTCTGGAATTCCCCTTAGCATACTACAGAACTCCCCTCTTTACTGACTGAGCCTTTTATAAATACATGTTTTCTTCTTGCTTTTCCCCTCTGCCTTCTACACACTAAATGTGAGGAGTTATAGGCATAAAATATGCTATCTCTAAGACAGGTGACATTTTTGGGCTAATATTCACTAGAGGAAATAATAACTAGCAAACATAAATTGTGCATCTGAATACCTCAGAATAACTGGTGATTGTTATTTGGTATAATTTTGTTCCAATTAAAGCTTCTAACACACGCAAAGCTTTGAGCTTGATTACCCCACATAAAATTAGGGTTTTAGGAAATGCAAAACACTTTTGAACTCCTAAGACATTCTTACCTTTTTTAAATTACAGAGGAAATCAAAACACTCTTGCAAACAGTTCGGTGAAGTGATTTTTCTCAAGCCTGGCTGCACATTAGAATCACTGAGCAGAAGGCCTCACCCTTAGAATCACCTGGGAGGCTGTCTTAGCCTTTAACAAAATACCAAAGGATGTGTACTTATAAAGAGGCATGTGGTGCTGGTGGCTGGAGGATCCAAACATCATGGCACCAGTGTCCTGGTGAGGGCCCCTTGAGTGTCACAACATAGTAGTGGAGAAGTAGAAAGGCAACCAGCCATGTGCAGGAGAGCCAAGAGCTCCAGGTGACTTTAACAACCCACTCTAGAGAGACAGGTTTTATCCCTTCATGAAGGTGGCACCCCCATGACCTATTACCATCTACTAATAGACCTTACCTCTTAAAGATTTCAGCACTTTAGCACCACCACACTGGAGACCACGCCTCCAGCACATGAACTTCTGAGGATAAACCACATGCAAACCATAGCATAGGCTTTTAAAAATATAGTAATACTCAGAACCCACTTTGACTTTTTTTTTTAGTACTGGGGAATGAGCCCAAGGCCTTTGCATTGAGTTAGATGTAACTCCCCCCTTTATAATTTTTAAATTTTGAGATGGGGTCTCCTTATGTTTATGAAGCTAGGCTCGAACTCAAACCTTCCTGACTCAGCCTTTGAGAGGTGGGATTACAAACATGCTCCATCAAGCACTCTGACTTTTCAAAAATTAAATTCCCTCAGTGATAGAGACAGCATCACTTTTTAAAGAATGTTTTTCCTGAAAACTTTTAATGTTCAGACAGTATTGAGAAACATAAAACACCTGCACTTGCAAACAAATTTTATCATCTTGCACTCAAAGTGTTCTCCTTAGCTTCACCAGGGAAACTGTTAGAAATTCAGAATCTCATGGCTGCCCTCCCCCAACCTAGACAACAGGAGCTGCATTTTAACCAAGTTGGGGTGATTCACACGAATATTAATGTCTGACAACCAGAGTTGTAACTCTAATCTGCATTTGACTTGTTATTGGGGAACACAGTAATAATCAACATTTTGTAAACACTTACAATGAGCCAGACACTTAGCTAACTCTTCTATTATCACCTCACTTGATTATTCCAACAATTCTTTAAAGTGGAAGTTACTATCCATATTTTACAGAGGAAGAAAATGAAGCTTATGGAGATGACACAACTTGTTCAAGGTCAAAGAGTGGTGGCTATGGAACTGGAATTCAAATTCATCTCTGTACTCCTTCCTAATAATTCTACAGATATGATTATATTTCAATTGGCATGAGTCTATTACATCCACGGATAAGATGCTTTTTAGCTTTATGTTAAGAAAAAATGTTTGATTAATAACTATGCACCATAGTTATTAAACTTCAACCTAGCATTCAACTTCTGAAGTTATCAAAGGAGAAAATTGGAAAATTTCCCCAACTATGAAATAAGATAGCACAGTTTTCCTGCTTAATTTGGGGCTCTTAACTAAGCAATAGAGCAAAGAACTAAGCAAAAGTACAAAAAAATCATACATGTAAGTCTTTTAGCCAGGTTCAAGCAGTTAACTTTGGATAATGCTGGAGTCTTTTTGAAAATTCTGGGGGCAACTTTGCATTTTATTCGCAACCAGGCATCAGTGAGAGTCAGCACCTGCCACATCTCCAGGAAACACAAAACAAATCATTTGCATCAGCTCCCAAGATAGCTTCCTCTTTAAGCTAATTTTATACTTTGTTTCCATTTAACAACAGAAGTTTTAAATTCTTTCAGACTTCTTATACAATGTGCTTCAAGGGTAAGAAGGGGCGGGAGGGTCACTTTACGTGGCCATAATCTTCAGATTCTCGGCTTGGGACAGAATCCTGCTCTGTGCATCTGATCCACCTTCTGCTCCATGTGTGGGAATTTCCTGGAGACATCGCTTACCTTAGAAATGCTCTCTCCATCCTGATACCTCTCCTTTGCATCTCAGCAGTCAGCAGAAGTAGCAGAAGAGAGAGCAAGTGGAATGACCCAGGAAGTCTCTGTTCCAGAGTTACCTCAGACATCACCATGATCCGGTCCCCCAGATCCGCTAAGGCGTAATATTTATTTTTATACATTATCATATCTTTCTCTCAATGTTTCCATCTCTCTGCATCCTTCAAAGACAGATGAAACCCCGGAAGGGTGTGGGGACATGATCATGGCGATGTGTGAGGTTATTCTTGGGTTAATGGTGATGTATGGATCAGTATTCTCAATCCCTGTTTTTAAAAGATAGAGGTATTGGAATGCACAAGCTGCTCTGGGCACCATCCTTTTTGTGGGGCTTGTAAGAGCCAGTAATCACATTTCCTCTTAATGAAAGGCCTCAGTCCGAGGACCACAGTCTCATAGGCTTTAGCTAGGGGCCATCCCCTGCTTCACTTTTCCAGGCCCTTCCCCTTGTTGTTTCTTACCAGATGTCTGATGAAACTTCAATCCCAGGCTCGATACCAACAGGAGGAGGAACATGTTTTATACTTGATCTGAAATAGATAATTGAAAGTCTCAGCTTGAATATAGCTTTTCTGGGTCTCATGAATTGGTGATAGGCTCAGTTCTAAGTTTGGGGAAGGCAGTAGACA